AAGGGTCAAAAAGACAATTTAAAAAGAAAAGGCTTGTGCCAGCTTACATCATCCTTCGATCATGTCCAGCTACCATCAGACCTCTTCGATTCAAATAATAGACTTAGCTTCACATGATCAGACTATGCAAATAGCAAAACTTGAATTAGCAATGGTGCTGCCTTGATGACTTGCTCTTAACTTGAACAAGCCTATCAGTTTTTGCAAAGCCTCCAGCTGTGACTTGCTCTACATCGAATGAGATGACTAAAAGCAAAGCTAACTTTTGCAGGCTTCGCCTTTTCCGTGTGGCTTCCGAAAAAGCTTTAAGGCATAATTAGGAAACGACGTTGAGACTTCCTCCCGAATTTCTTAAGGCCTTCACCCAAAGCTTAATTAATAAAAAAACTAGAAATGATTCAAATTTAATAAATGCATGATGGCCCATTATTATATATACCTATTGTACTCTTAATTAAGTTGAAATTAGTCACGCGTTAAGAAGAGGGAAGATATAATAAGTAGGCACGAATCCAAGTTCTTCAAGGTCATGTGAAGAATATTCAAAGAAAATTATAGTTAATACGAAATGACAGGCCGGTGACTTTATTTTGCTCACACTGTAATATTCTCAACAAGATTTAAATAATTTAACCACTATTTTAGATTTATTTATAAATCAATGTCGTGCCAAAGAAAATCTTAAAACTTATTAATTTATATTTAAAATTAACTAGGTTTTCAACTTTGCCACCATCAAATATACATAATTTAAAGACCCTTTGTGCCAAGAAATTCTTACTGAAAGAGTAATGCAAGAAGAGATCACTCCCTCTTAAGCCATTTGATGAAAGAAATGATGCCTGTTAGAGAGAAAAAGCACCAAAACATTAGAGCAAGAGGCAAAAGTAATGAATACATACAAAAACATTTAATTCGCCATATGAACTTGGAAGTGATGGAATATTCTTGAAAATGCTCGGTTTCCTTCACAGGTTCAGTAGTTCTGTCTGTCACTTATTTTCAAAAGCAAGCTACAACTTTTACTTTATTTTACTTTGAACAAGCACATCACTATATCAGCTTTTTGCAAAGCCTCCAGCTGTGACATGTGTAGCCCTACTACAAATTATGCAATATTTGTCTGTTCTAGAAACTCATTTTCATCTGCTTAGAGAGAGACATTGATTGAAAAAATATAGATAGGAGTTATATAGATTCATCTGTTATGTAACAGACAATTATGAGGAAGTAACGAATATACAGCTTCATACTCGTCTGATCCGTAGGAAATACGGTACGAAAATGAATTTTTTTTATAGTAGTGCAGCATCAGGAAGGAAACGTTCTTCTGATTCTACAGAAAGAACATCGAAATAATATAAGAAGAGTGGACTATTATGAGCATTGCTGATTGATTGAACAATGAGCCCTTCTGCTTTCCAAAATAAGTAGAAAACAACTGAATGAACAGAATCGGGGGATGAGATTGAAACTAACAAAATATAAGATTTAATTTCATTCACATGCTTAACATGGGATATATAAATTGTTGTCTCTTAGAAAATGATGTAGAAATAATATCCATGTATATTGAATGGAGGCTGGGTCCGGTTGTTTTTAATTTTAATTGTAATGTATAACAGTTGAAGAATTAGTTTTTATTTAATTTAGCCCTATAGGCATGGAAGAACACGATAAGAGAAAGATCAATCATAATTAAGCATATATATATATATAGTTTCCTATCCAAGCCACAATCTCAACCAGATAATTAAATTGGCAGCATGAGTGAGAGCCTCCCTCCACTTTTGCAGTTGTTGCTGGGTGATGCTTTTGTGCTCAAGTTCTGCAAATGCTTTCTGATAACTCTCAGATTGCTTTCTCACATGTGAAGGATCTACTCTATAGAACACTGGCGTAACAAGGTGACCTTTATTTTTGGAGCACTCTAAGCTCCTTCAAGCACCACGGGGAAGATGTATTACTAATTGGGGGATATAATAAAAACATCTCAACTTAAAAGATCAAGATATGGGTGAATAGGAACATTTAATATTATAATTAAGTCTTCGCATGGGTTTGTTCAAAACCAACAAAATCATATTTCATCCGGTACAAGCTACATCAAGTAACAAATGCATACACTAAATGCGAATGGATTATAGAGTAGTCTCAGAAAATTAAGATTTGTAAGTCGCACTTTCTTCCATCAGCTTCTTATGTCTTCATTAACTGATGAGATATTCATCTTTGATATTCGCAAAGCCTTTCCCAGCAACTTCAGTAATTTGATCTGCCCTTACGACGTAGAAGCGATGAAACTCCAATCCTTAATCATGATGTGGGATTGGGGCGAGGGAACCCAAAGAGTTGTAAAACAGTCACACTCATTTTCCCTCTTTTTTTTTTTTATTAATAAAAATGAAAGTTTAAATAAGTTGAATTTCGGTTCTCATTAGACTATTATGCCTTCACTTGGGCTTCGGCATACGCGCAGTTGGAATACTCTGTTTTGAAAATAGAGATAAGTTCTCTCTTTTTGCGGACGTTGCGAAGAAGAGAGAGCAGAAGTAGAGACACAAGAATAGTTATTAACAGAATACTTATAGAAAGAGACTCATTTAAATCGTAAGCCAAGACTAAAGGCCCTTTAGGCCAAGAAAATCCTCCTTGACAGAGGTATGCAAGGGAACAGACGAAAATGAACAGAGTTGCAGGTGAAAATGGACTTGAACCTTGAAATCAAAATGTATGAATGTTTTCACATATTGTCGTCAATACAACTTTTTTGGTTCATTTCATACTGAATGGAAAAGACAGCACCGAATGAAGAACGGAGAGCAGAGAGAGAGAAAATTATACGAAGAGTGGACTATAAGCATTGCTGATTGATTGAACAACGAGCCCTTCTGCTCTGCTTAGCCGGCAAGGGATCTGTCAAAAATAAGCACTGACAAATGAACAGAATCGGTGGATGAAATTGAAACCAACAACATACCACACCTCTTATGCTAAATATAGGAGTTAGCTGACTAATTTGAATAGATTAAGAAAATAAATTAAGTTAGTTATTTATAATAAATATTGTCTTTTTTAAAATATCCTTGTTAGTCAATTATATTGGCTAGAACTATTACTATTAGAAGGACTGTCTTGGAAAAAAATACATAAATATGAGAGACAAAGTAGATTAGGATTTATATTTAAGACCAAAATTAAAATCAAACGAAGTCTTATATTAAAGATTAGAGGTAGTATAAGATTTCGTTGGCATGCTTAACTTGGGATCAATGATTTAAAAACCGGATCGGATCGGACGGTCGGACCGGTTGAACCGTTAGCCGAACCTGTTAACGGCTCGGTTTGGACCGAAAAACCATTTATATAGTTGAGCCGGATTGGACCAGAGTTGAGTCGTCATTAAGTCGGAAACCAGAGTTGGATCGGGAACTGGAACGGTTTTCAGAAAATCGGACGGTTTTTTAGCCTGACCAAAAAAATACTAGAAAAATAAAAAAATTGACCCCCTCAAATATCCTAATATATTTTTAGACTATTTATAACCATATAGTATTATCTTATTGAAAATTTCACATATTGTGATATTAAAACCATGAATCACTAGCCTTTTTGTTTTGATGTCTGCTCTATCTTTTAAAATAATTTTTTGATTTGAATAAATTAATAATTTTTAATATTATTAAATATTTTAAACATACATAAATTTAAATATATATATAAGGTTTTAGTCCATCTTCAATGATTTTATTATATTTTTGGATCATTTAAATACATTTCTAAATTATTAATAATTTAATATTTTTCATATATATATTAATTATATGTATATAATATTGTTTTAAATTAATTATTGCGTTACCGGTCCGACCAAACGGTCCGACTGGTTCGACCGATTGGACTATAACCCGCTGATCTTTCCAGTTTGACTTCCGGTTCGGCTTTTAAAACATTGCTTGGGATATGTAAATTGGCTCCAAAGAAATTAATGCAAGGACAAACCTCAACAAATTGGGGCTGCCACAGCCCGGGGCCCTGACACCACGTGTATGAGCTGACATGTATTGGGCGAGTCAGAATCTTCTTCGCTTTTACTGGTTTCATGTTCTTAACGATCCTTGTCCCTATTAATTATAACCGCGATCAGAGGCTCAAATGATTCATTCCTCATTTGATCAGGCTCTGCTTCGGTGTTAATAACTTCATTCTTAGATGTGAAGCTAAATGCGTCGGGAACTTATGCAAACTAAACTAACAACCCTGATTAAATTAAGAACTCCGAATTACCGTCCAATATTAAATCCCAGCTATCAAATGTTAACCTCAATCAAATTTTTAGGGTATTCCTAACTAAAGGCAACTTTGCATGTTCGCAAATATTTCCAAAACTGTGGTAAAAAAATTTTTTTCAGAGGAAGATGATCGGATGAATTGAACGAGATCAAACTTTTCAGGCCGCTGATTATGAGTTTACGACTTTAATGGATGCAGCCTTGTGAATACACACACACACACACAAATGAGATGGAAATTCCTGCAGCCATCAGAGGGACAGGGATTGAAAAAGAAAGATGAGCAGATATTAATGTTCAAAGATCGAACCTGTTGTTTCTTGTTCTTCTCATATTCTTCATATTTGCAAGCTCCTTCAGTGGCTTCCTCAATGTCCATAAATCCTTTTCTTTCTCAATCTGCTCGATTAATTTCCCGTGATTATGACATAGTAGAAGTAAGAGATAGTCAGCTTAATGTCCATCAGTTGAATCCAGTTCTTCAAAAATGTTAAATTAATCATATGAATGCCAATGGTACAACTTAATGATGTGGTAATCAGAACGTACAAATTATTTAAAAACAAGAAAAAAGCATTTCTATCACTAGTAGTTAAAACCCGAGCATACCATTTTGAGGTCGAGGCGCGAGAGTGATATATAAAGTTGAATAGTGGGCAGATGAATTGAACTTGAGAGCTGTAAAACTCAAAAACCATTTCTTGAAATTCATCGAAGTAAGCTGTGATATTTGCGCTTTCGAGAGGCCGATTTGCAATGCAATAATGCCAATTGAATTTGTTTGATGTAATTTTGATATTCAACTGCAGATGTCGGGCACACCCCCCACTCTTTGATCTCTACTGTTGTTTCATCATCATCAAGCGAAAAGGCTGCGAATTCAAATTGAAGCAATGGATGATAAGAAGTGTTGCTTTGGGCTTCTATTTTCTTTTCTTCAATTTTCCTTTGTACTTCTCGACACTGCCTTTGAGCGTACCAAAGAACAACATGATCTGATAACAGGGACTCACCGACAGAGCAGTGCTCAAACGTGGAAGCATGTTGACCATCAATAAACAATTCGGCTGTAATATTTGTCCACCGCGATGATCCAGAAATGACGGCGCAAAAAATGAAAGCGCCATCCCAAGGTTGTGGAATCGAACTGAGATCCACAGTCAGGAAAGACTGTGTAGTCCTATACATGACCCACTCTGCAACTCTTCTTCCCGGATATTCCATGTTAGCCCAGAAATAAATGGCTTTGTTGTTATTTATGGCAAGTAGCACTCTGGCCTCAACAGCTTTGATTGACTGCCCATCCAACTTCATGCAATTTCTGAAACTGAATCTTTCATGAGAAAATTGATCTCCTTCTCTATCTTCACTCATTAAAGGTAAATGTAAAGTCTCAAGGGACAGGCAGTCATTGACGTACAGTAGTGAGATAGAGGGAGGGAGTTGTGGTAGAGACAGAAGCCTTTTGCATCCATTTAAGGTGAGACTTTCTAGGCTTGAAAGATGTTTGATGCTTAAAGGCAAGGTCTCTATATTACTCCCTGAGAGATCTAACAGACTTAATGACGCCAACAAGCTGATGTTGTCAGGAACTTCATATAATTCACTACAATTAGTAAGCCGTAGAAATTGCAAAGCACGCATCTCATCAAATTTGGAACACAGATTTGATGCTAACTTATTACAATAATCAGCATGAAGGCGTCGAAGCGTGCGCATGTCAACCAATTTGTGAAGACTTGTCACACCTTCGCATCTTCCTAGGTCCAAAACATCAATTTTGCTGACATGTCCGCTTGATGAGCACAACTCACCATTGATGGTTGCGTCACGAAGCACCAAGACAAACAAATGTTTTTCTGAGGTCACCGAAAATTCACTTAGTCCTGAGCATCCTGTCAAGTTGAGCATACACAGTGATTTGAGATGGGTGTTGCTTGTGAGGCTGGCAAGGGTTGTGCAACCTGTTAGCTCTAAACAAGAAAGGCTATGGAGAGATAAAATAGATGGATGAACATTCTGCAATTTTGTACAATAATTGAGAGTAACTTGGACAAGATGTATGGCCTTGGAAAAATTTGGGAGCTCAATCAAGTCTTTTGATCCATGAAGATCGATTTTGCTTAAATTCACAAGATTCTGTAAAAAAAAAAGAAAAAATCCATGGTAAGATTGGTGGCAAAAATGAAAATAATTACTCTCTCTTATCCTTCTTTAATAGTTTTACTAAAAAATTACTTATTAATGTCAAAAGGTTTTACAACGTTCTAAAATTACACTTAATCAATAATCTTTATAAATATTGGTGTGATGGTGAAATACAAATGCATTTTTTAGAATAGGTGCTGTCAGTCTGTCATTGAATTTTTTAAGAGGTTTTAAAGACCCATAGGTAAAGGCTTACAAATAATTAAGACTAAAGAAAAGGCACATAATCAAAATTTTCAACTAATGCATTAATAATATTTTAAAGAGAAAATATAAAATCTACCTGCTCTCCATCCCAAAGTTTTGTCAATTTGCTGAAGGGCATGTTTATTTCAATAAGATTTTCACCCTTGAATGTTGTCGGCAAGGTCTTTAAAGGGCATCCCACCCAATCCAATAGCATGAGGTTTTTTGACAAAAACATCATGCCAGAAGCATTTAACTTGTTCCTAAGCTGAACATTTAAATTTCCATAAACCCTAAGAAACTTTAGATTGGGCATTGAACGAAATGCTTTAATAATAACGCCCGTCTCTTCAACTTCCGAAAGGTCCATAATCATGCCTTCAATACTTCCCTAACAAACAAAAAATAATAATATTAATAAAAAAATCATATAAATCAAATAGGAATTTGAAATTCAACAATCATTTTAATAAATAAATGTATAAATTCCACACTTACCATTTTTTTCTTCAATATTTCAGAACTTTTCTTGAAAATCCAAAATATGTTGCACCATGTAGGATATTTTAATGATTCTTCACGAACAATTTGTTTACCCATTTGTTTTATCAGACCATGCATACGTATTTTTCCTCTATCAATATCTAAAAGAGCTTTATCTTCAAGTCTCCTCAATCCAATCTCGGTTGAATAACCGCATGCATCTAACCATTTTTTTACATTCTCAACATCATAATAATAATTGAAAAAAAATGCGATATGCAAGAAAATATTTTTTTCTTCCTCATCATCAAGTCCTTCGAAGCTCAATCTAAGGATATCATTGACTTTTGGGCAAGGTAATTTTTGAAGCTTTTCCAATTGGCTTTTCCACGCTTCTTGCTTTTTGCCGCATAAGAAGAGGCCTAAAACCTTTAGGGCCAATGGATTTCCACCTGCATATTCAGTCACTTGTTCTGCTAGCCCTCTTATCTTTGGATCACTGTAGCCTTTTTTGAAGGCATTCAAGGAGAAAAGTTGAAAAGCTTCATCAGGATCCAAACCATGAAGCACATATATGTCATCCACTTTCTTACGAAGCACTTGTTTATCTCTGGTTGTTATTAAGACTTTGCTACCTGATCCAAATTCACATCTTCCAACTAAATTTTCTAATTGTTCAATATCATCAACATCATCAAGCACAATGAAAACCTTTTTCCGACTAAGCCTAGTCATTGTATGAGAATATATTGCTTTATCCCCTAATAAACTCCAAATAAGCTCCTTCCTTAAAGCATCTATTCCATCTTTCTTTGATTTTTCTCCCACTTTTTCCACAAAGACTGACCCTTCGTATTCAAAATGCCACTTCTTATACAATGCTTCTGCAAGAGTTGTTTTGCCCAAACCGCCCATCCCCCAAATGCAAATAATCCGGATATCCTTCGACCCCTTGTCCAACAATGATTCTACATGTTTCATTCTCTCTTCAATTCCAATCAAGTCTTCTCTATTATATTCACTTGGATACCGCTTGTGCAACCTTTCTTTAACGCTTTCCACTATTTCTTTAATTTTGTCTGCTTCGTTAACTCTGACACCATTGAAAAAGTAAAGATGCACCAAATTAAATATTGCGTTATCTATTCAAAATTTTTAACTATTCCTAATGAAATGCAACTTAGAAGATTTGTCAATTTTGAAAATGTGTTGTTATTAATAGTTTTCTTGAGAAACATTACTCCTTCATTCTTTATTATAAGAAATAATTATGAAGTATGTCATGTTTTCATAAGAGGCATTTAGAAGTTGTCTCAAATTTGGTTTATTGATTTTTTATTTTATCCTATTTAATTACTTAGTACTCATTTCATTATATTTAATTTCCACACATTTTATTTTATACTCCTAGTTCTATTATAAGGCACTTCCAATATGTTTCACACAAATCAAGAAAAATTTTAAATTGTATTAACTTTTTATTAAAATATAGCAACTTTTTAACTTTACCCCTATTTAATATATACACATTTCAAAACGAATATCTATCCGGAAAAAAAGTCTATCTATACTATAATAAATAAAAAGCAATGTACCCTATTCATCGTAAAAATTTAATGAAGTGATTTACAAATAAGACTAAAAAAACCTTCTCTCTCTGCTCTCCGCCCTATAAATAGGACTAGAGGAGCACACATTATCTATCTTCCACATAAATGAGGGCATTTTTTACCAAAAAAAAGTTATATTTTTTGACCCATTTATTGCCCTCAACGCAATTCGGGTAATTGTCTATTATAAAAGAAAAGGGAGAGAGTACTAAATAATTTAAACTGGATATATAAAATTTGAGCTTAATTTAATGGCCATGAATGGATCATAATGACTATATATAGTGAGACGGGGATTTAGAAGAAAAATATTGTGACAATAAAGTTGATAGGCCTGGTGGACTGGCTAAGCAAAGTGTGTGTATATATATGAGATCCTATAGTCTCATTATGATTATCAACTCCCATGGATGCTCAAAGATTGATTTAATTTAGCCCCATGCATCATGGAAGAACATGGTAAGAGAACGATCATAAGCATGTAGTTACCTATTGGTGATGGGGAAACCAGATATACCAGCAGCTTCAGCGAGAGCCTTCCTCCACTGATGCAGTAGTCGCTTGCTGATGCCTTTGCCCTCAAGTTCTTCAAATGCTTTCTGATAACTCTCAGATTGCTTCCTCACATGCGAAGGATCTACTTTATAGAACACCGGCACAACAAGGTGACCTTGATTTTTGGAGCACTCCAATATTTTAGTAAGCTCCTTCAAGCACCATGTGGAAGATGCATAGTTTTCTGAGAAGATCACAAGGCACAGAGTTGAATCTTCAATGGCTTTCTCAAGAGATGGCCATACCTCATCTCCTTTCTCAATTCCGTCGTCGACGAATGTTTCTATTTTACTTCTGCGAAGAGCATCGCAAAGATGGCTAGTGAAACATCCGCGGGTGTCCTCACCTCTAAAACTTACAAAAATATCATGTGGCTTTGGATATTGAGAAGATGGAGCAGGGGAGGAAGATGAAGCCATATCAGATTGCTTTGCTTTGATATGCAAAAGAGAGTTGGGACTCGTCTCAATTGTGAACTGAGAGTAATTTGTGATATATAGGAAACACACAGGGCCATGCATTCGAAAACGGACAAACAAGATGAATAATAAATAATTACTGTATAAATTAATTTTAAAGAAAGGCGGTCCTACCTAGTTGGAATTTTCTTGTGCTCTTAGTCGCTGGATAAGACAGCACTATATGAAAAGCATAGAACAGAGAGAATGGAAATTACCCAGTGACCTTCACCCAAACGCTTAGTCAAATTTCCTAAGGGTGTGTTTGGGATCACATTGGTGACCCCAAAAGTAATTTCTATACCGTAAAAAACAACTTCTGACTATTTTTCTTGTTTGGATCCACGATTGTCTGAAAAGTCCTTTTCTCTTCTATCGCACGGTGGAGCAGAAGCCACAAAAAGTAGCTTTTCTGGTGCATCACGGTGCGGCAACATCATGAGCCCTTTAAATTTGTTACCTACCCAAGTTGCCCTTCTACCCAAGGACAAGATGAAAATTAACAAATCTCTTTCTGCGAATGATTATGAGATGCTCTGTTTTTCTTCGCCAGAGAAGAAGCAAAAGAATCTTGGAGATACAATGGTGGGTCTGTGAAATTATAAGACGCTGAGGTGGGGAGAGGCTGTGAATGATTATTCATCTCCGAAGGATTTTGAGACGCTGAGGTTTGAGAGGGATTTTGAGACGCTGAGGTGGGGAGAGGCTGTGAATGATTATTGTTGCTGCCATCAAGGACGAATTGATAGAGGCAAGGTTGGGGAGGGGTGGAAAAGGCAGGCGGTGGAGTGAGGAGAATTGATTAGAGATTTTGGGGTTAAAAAAAAAAAAAAGCCAGAACCTTCTTTATTTTCTGTTAAGGTATCTTTTTGTTTGTTATTTCATTATCTAAAATCTTATATTCAAATAAGTTAGTCCAAATATCTCTAATCTCAAGGGATTATTCAAATATATCTGCATCATTGTATTTATTTTTATTATTTAAAATTTATATACATTTTTTATCCATTAAACATATCTAATTAAGTACTTTAGAGCTATTTTTATTTTTATAATTTGTTAATTTTAATATTTCTCTTAAAATTTTCGCAATATGTACATAATATATATATGTCATTTAATAAAATTTATGTCCTTTTCAGTCATTTTACATCTAAACTTACTTTTACATTTATCATCCAAACAAGTTTCAGCTTCTCAAACTGGCTTTTTTCTAAAACCCAATCCAAACATAAATCACATTATCCTATCTGACTTTTACTCAATCTGACTTCTGTAAAAGTCAGATTGAAAAAAAAGTTACTTCTCCACCGCTAATCCAAACACACCTTAAGAGCAGCAGGTAAAAAGTAAACAAATCAGATCAGATTTCTTAATGAAATTCATTTCAATAAAGCACTATGATCATACCTTTCTAACTTCCGTTTCTACTCCTTTTCTTGAGTGCTGGCCTGCGTGTTCGCTTTTGAGAAATATAAAACTGAACAAATAATAAAGATGGTGTGAGTAATAAACACGGAACAGAGTACGCAATGGAAAATTGTGCAGATACAGCTGTAAATGCGGGCTGATCCGGATTGCGCGTGACGCTGAGAGCATGGAAACAACAGTGAAATAAGCACAGAGAATCCGCACACAATCGGATATACCAATAAACACATTTTTTGTAGTGTAAGTTTAAAATCATTTATAAACATATTTTATGTAAATTAAAATAAATTTTTTACATTTATTTTATGTTTTATAAATTATGGTTTAAAAAAACTTATTAATTATTCTAAAAAACCCGCCTTATATGTTTGCTTTTGTATTGGTACGAGTATTTTTCACGAACTCGCGGAGCACGTTACAGCAGGATGTGCATTTGATACCTGAAAAAAGCAACAGTAAGTTGATAAGGATGAATTTGGATTGGTTCTATTTTTTCTGCTGTAAAATAAATAATAATATCACTCCCCCTCATTCAGAATATAAGTAGAGATTTGTTTTTATCGTAAATATTAGTATAAAATTTTTCCATAAAAAACAATTTTCAATACAAATGATTTAAGATAAAATTTTGAGAAAATTAATTGATTCACATTTTTATAAATAGTTACTTTAATCAACTTGTTTAATATATTTTAATTAATTATTTAACCATTATATAAATTAGAATAGAAACAGTGACTTTTATACTGAGATCGTCAATCTGCCTATGAAAATGGAACAAAATGATCAATAAATAGTCATAATTTTCAAAGAAAGGCGGTCCTACAGAGAGAAAGGAAACGCCGCTGGCTCTTTCTCCGAAATGTTGAAAGCTTAATCAAATTTTCAAAGAGATAAAATAAGTTTGATCTTTTGGACTTATCATTTCCCTAACAACTATTCTATTGTATCATTGTATACGGTGTTTACATAATTAATTCTGAATTCTGGAAATCACAACGTAACTTCCAGGAAGTTTCGTATGCTTAATCGGGAGCACTTCAGGCCTCTAACAACTAACAATATTTTTTTTTTTTTGTGGTTCAAAAGTTATGCTGGAGCTCATCAATGCAACAAACATCTAACCATTTTAATGTTTTAATATGTGATTTTTTTTTCATAATAAATTTATTTTTTTAGAAACTGTCAGTTATAAAATTATCTCTATTTTGAATTTTTTATATACTCTTCCGGTTCTTAATATAGGACCCAATTGTTAAGTTGATTTTTGTCCTAAATATAAGACCCATTTCTCATATTTATTAATTTTCTCTAAATTACCCCTATGAATACTCCTTCAACCATAATTGAGTAGAAGAGGAAGAGAGGGTATTAAGAAAAATGATTATAGTATTTTAGGAAAAACATGTCACATTTCTTATAATTAACTAACTTACTTAACTTCCTTAATCTAATCAAATTGGTTAAATGGGTCTTATATTAAGGACTGGAGGAGTATTAAAATGAAAAATTATTTACAATATAAAAAAATTAAATTGAATCTGGATATGCAAAATCAATTTAAATAATTTTTATTAGAATGAGCACTCCATGCTTAAACTCTTAAAAGTTGAATGCAGAATCTTATACTTAAAAAAACTTTAAATTTAAAGGAGTTGTTTTGGTGTTATTAGGCTATAATGCACATTATTTGTTTGTGTGCGCGAAGCACAAGTGAGATATTGTTGGCAAAAAAAAAAAATACAAGTGAAACATTAAGAGAGATCTTTGATGAAAAATAAAAAGAACAATATTTGAGAGGGATCAGGATAATATCCCATTTTATCTTTTTATTCTTTTACCCCGAAACATACGTAGTAATTGAACTTTAACATTTGCACTACGGTCTTTTATATCCAATTTATACCTCTAGGTCATTTTCAACTTCCTTTAATTTTTGTAAATTGTGTGTATTTATATATTGTTGTTCATATTAATCTTTTTTCTAATATATATTAATTTCCTAACTTCAAAAAATAGGGAAGAATGGTCACAAAGAGTGTCACGACTCGTTTGAAACACAATATAAAATCAAATTAAAATAAACAAAATAAGTAACTTTATGAAGGAGAAATAAGTTTATATTTTCTTTTTTTTCTTATTTTCACTATTTCCACCCAAGTGAACCAAAAAAAGAAAAAATAAAAAAAAATACTTATTGAATTTCAAAAAGATAAATAGACCATACGGACAACTTTTACAATGATTTTAACAACTTTTGCAATGATTTTGACAGGTTAAAATATGTTTAAATCACCTATTGTTATTTTAAAATTTAATAAGGTTTTTTGTTATTTTTAAATAAAAATTATTTAATTTATTTTTATAACATATCAAACACAATAACTTATTTTTAAAAAATAGTATTTATATTTTCATCCTTATAATTATTCATGTCGTTATTCTTACAGAACTTATTTTTAAAAATTAAACTACATTGAAGGAAACATAGATGAATTGTTCACATTGTGCCAAGAATCGTCTCCAATAATTTTAATGTGAAGATTACAGTAGTCATGGAATTTCAAGTCAATTAATTTAATAAAAATTAAAACAATAAAAAGTATGTGATTTCTTTTTATTTGAAATTTCGTTTTATTTTATAAGAAGTTTTTATTAACTAATCATCCTTAGAAGCAAAGCTAACTTTCATAGACATACCCGTTTCCGTGTGACTTCCGAAAAAGTTTTAATGCGTAATTAGGAAATTACCTTGAGACTTTCTCCCAAATTTCTTAACGGCCTTCACCCAAAACTTAATTAATAAAAAAACAGAAATGATTCAAAATTAATAAGTGCATGATGGCCAATTATATATATCTATTCTAATCTTCAAACTTGAAATTAGTCATAGTGAAGAATTTTCAAAGAAAATTATAGTTGATACAAAATGAAGGGTCACTTTAGTTTGCGTCACTGTAATATTCTCAACAGGATTTAAATAAATTAATAATTACTCTTCCGGTCTTAATTTACAGTGTAAATTACACTGTAAAATAGATCTTATATTTAGTACTGGAGAAATACTATTTTGGTTTATTTATTTATTACTTTTAATATGTTTGTCTGAAACTAAGTCAAACATTAAAACTCATTAGTTGTATTTAAAATTAAGTTTGTTTTCATCTTTGCCACCATCAAATTAAATGCATAATTTACAAATTAAATAACGCATGCCAACATTTAACGAAGGATAAAAAGGAGAAATAAAAAAAATTAATAATTGGAGTTGTAAAAGAGTGAGGACTCTTTTTAATTCAGATCTAAGGATTATTTGCATGCAATAGGAAACAAACAGGGCCTATGGGGATCATATTGTTGGGGAAGATAATCAAGATGGTCTTGGAGGGTGTTTGAAAAATCATTAAAATAAAATACTTTTTTATAAATCGAAACAAATTTTTTTACATATTTATACTGTACACTATAAAATTATTTTTAAGATTATGATCTAGTTTCTATTCAAATATTTTTTCTAAGTTTATCGGGGC